GCACAAAAGGCACATCGTGCGTTGCTCAGCTATATGTAAGATCTCCCTGGATCTTTTTAAAAGTTTTTTTACGCTAATTTGATATTTTGTCCAAGCGATGCTTTGAAATATTTTTCCCCAATCAAGTTGATGAAAAGGCAACATGAAGCGTAACTCGTTGACGAAAAAGAAAAAAAAAAAAAAAAAAAAAAAACCACTTGCTGAAACAGGTAGGCCTTAACCTTTGTACATACAGGCAAGTGTGTATACGTATATATAAAATGCCGAGATAAAGAAGCAGAGAAAGAGTTTCCGTGTCAGGTTCACGGCGCGTAAGTATACATACACACATATCATCCTACACGGCGTGAGTTCGCTCTCTGGTGGTGTTAAGATCGAGTATATATACATACATATATGTATAAAAAAATACGCCAACAGTGTGGCACAGGGTCCCCACATCCTCTCGGAGAGCGCGGTAGTTTATATATGTATATACGATGTACAGACATAGAATCCCCCCTCCTCACATATGTGTTCCACGATATATCTATACCCGTCGTGTGATACTGCCTCGCGCTGGGAGAAAAGTGTGTTTCTGGGTCAGTGGCACACACTTAAAACTTGCTCCCGCTCGCGTCACACACAATGTAAACGTTACATTATATACACACGTGTCGATGGTAGGTATGTAGGTGTGTGTGCTCGTGGTTTTCCTATTCATACTCGTCTAAAGGTATATATATATATACAGCATAGAGTGGCCCAGGAGCGCGCGTGAACGCAACAAAATCGTGCATTACAAATCGTGAATCGTGACTAAGTACTTACTCGGGAAGCAGATTATTGTCTCTCTCCTTGAACTTGCCCGCGCTCGACATATATATATATCGCTTAAACATATTACAACCGGTCGTTCGCTCATATCATGCGTCTCTGATGTTTCAAGTACAATATAAGTGTATGTGTACATGTACCTATAACATTATGTATAGGTACAAATGTACTTACGTGTATCTAAAATAAGCGAAGTATTGTAAATATAGTGGCCGGGTGTTATGACTACATACGGATATACTTACTCGACGAGCTCTTGTCCATTTTAACGATGCCTCACTTTCCCGTTTGCCGTATGGTGTACCTATACGTATACGCGGTATCCTATATGTATATATACCAAACAGACATATACCCGTTGGTAATATACTGTAATGCTTACATGTACTTATTATGCAGATGTGAATCCGACGATGGAGGTATCTTTTGATAATATATATATAAGACCGGCTGGCGTGTCGTTTAATTTGATCTAAGAATAATCATGAGACATACATAGCTACAGCAGAACGTCTGTGCGGACTTTGCGAGGGGATATCGAAGCTTGTTTGCTTGAATAAAAAGAGCGATGCTCCAGGCAAAATCAAATTTGATGAAAATCTCTTTTCGCGTAAGGTCGAATTGAAACAAAAGGTTTCAAAATATTTGCCCAAATAAACCTTTTAATTTAGGGCTCATTCAAATATGGGATCGAAAACGTGATGAATATCACAAGTGTATCGATGAGGTTTTTTTAACTCGCGGTTTACCTTACATTGTTTATCATGACTTTCGATTTGATAAACTATTTCGACTATACTGTATCTGACATTGTATTTTTTTTTTTTTTTTTTTCAAGACAAATTCTACGTATTTCGTGTCACTACGTACTTTTCGAAACACGACACAATAAAAAACCAGATTGATCAAACCAACTGCAATCGCGATGACGAGACTCCAAATTTAATCAATCGATCATTGACAATTTTGTACCACGTGTACATGAAAATTAAAAAAAATTGGTATACAACTCGATCGATGGACAGACAGGCAGATTGAAGTTAATAAGCGTAAGCAACCACGACACCTTTGGTGTTTCACTTTACCATCATATCATTGGGCAATAGCGTATGATATTATATAATCGCGCTCAGCACAAAAGGAGTTCGTTGCACCCCTCGAGAGATTTGCGCCATCAAATCTGGTTAAACCAAGCTGTGTGCGCTTGCAGTCCGCAAAGTCGAGTATTTCCGTAACAACAAAAGTGCAACGACAAAAATATTGTCGGCTCGAGCGCGCGCGCACGCGATTCGACACACGTCGACTTTGTTATACACGGAGACTATACACGTCCTCTCTCTCTCTCTCTTCTGTCTCGCGCCCTCCTCCTTTTTTTTTTCTTATCATTTCTCAACGCGATCAATTTGTCGTATGCCTCCGGATCAGCGTTGGCTGATCGAGACACGCTTACCGATTTTCTCCTGCGCGATTTTTGGAATAATTTTTGCCAAACAAACAGTCTCATTTTTCATAAACAGAGCGATTATATTTTACAATAACTAATCGACCACTGCGTTAGATATTATACTACGTATCACAAAAAAAAGTGAGGCTTCAGCTAATCGGTACAAAAAAAAAAAAAAAAAAAAAAAAAACCTGTAATTTAATTTTCTTCTCATTTTCATGTTACAAGAGATAATAAAGACGTGGGGGGGGGGCTCGCGAAATTAATATACTTGTCGTGAAAGTAGTGTGTGGAGCACGCTCGCATCAGGTATACTTATAAAGTATACTACCTACAATCGCGAGGAAAGCGCCGAAACGCCGTGTCATTATTATTATCGCTACGACTGTACCGTAGCGCGTCGCGACGCGCGGCAGCTGGTCGCTCAATTTTTTTTTCTTTCTCTTTTCAATGTGTAAGTGTACATATATACATATACATGCGTGTGTTTGCGGACTGCCGCTATTTGGTTCTCGCTCTATTTATCGGCCGCCAAATTTCTTGTACCAATTGTATATACTTACCTTTTGTTTTGACTAAAGTGCCCGATTTGGCCCACCACCGCGGTTTGCCGCGTTACAGAAAAAACAAGGCCACCAAATTTTAGTACAAGGCTACCCTTCGTCGGCGATCTCCGTTCGAAACTAACGTTAGATCCCAGGCACTTTTTTTTTGTCCACGCCTCATACCGATTAAAAAAAAAAAAAAAAGAAAAAAAAATGACGCCGCTCCAATGGTCGATCGCAGAAATGGCCCGAGTAGCATTAGACGATACACGGTATACGAGATATAGTTGCGGAAGGAGGCCGATTCGCACCACAACAGATCAATCTTGCGCTCACCTGTGGTGTTGACCAAAGCCATTGACGAGTATACATACATTTCACATGGGGGAGGCAAACTCGCGCCATTATCCCGTTTGACCGATCGGCTGTAACATATATAGTTCAAGAGGCTGACAGGTATACACAATCCGCACAACCAACAGCGTGTATAACTATAATGGCGATTAATCAATTTCGTACACGAGCTTTCACTCCGTGAGTGAAAAAAAAGTTTGTTACGCGGTGAAATTTCACATACCTACGAATGGCCGGTAATCGTTTGCGCGTTAACGAAAACAATCCCACATCTGTTTTGTTTTTTCAGTTATATAGATACTTCTATGCTCGAGGGGAGCCGTTGGACCGGAAAAAGGGCACGTTTTTGCACGCCGTACACGTCGATCCGCGTCCTAATTATCGCCTCGGCCATTACGAGTACACACGTAATACCGATCGGGGGGGAAAAAAGGGCACACGCGTCGGGGTCAAGTGCTACTTACGGAACGACATAATTATATGCTCGTACAATCTGTCCCGTACCGATAACTCTCCGATCAATCGAAATTGTACGTTTATATATATATATACACATTTGTATCGAAATGCACGTGATACCGATCCGAACGTGCGCTGCATATCAGTGTTGCGCGAGGGAAAAAGGAGCATACATATGAAAAAAAAAAAAACTCGCGCTCGCGTGCCGTCGAGCATGAATTTTCCATACTCCGAAGCCACAGCCGAACTCTTTTACCACGCTTTGTTACTTACAGCCAATTTTTTTTTTTTTTTTTTTTCTTTTTCTTTTCTTCATCGCCACGAGTACAGCTACCCGAAGCGGAGTTGTACTAACAGCATTGAATTGTAACAGCTCTCGGCGAGGAGCGGAAAAAAAAGCCCCAGCTCGTAATAATGTCGCTAATGATGGCTGATGCAGTCGTCGAGCAACGACAGCGTGAAATTATTGAAAAACAATATCGCGACCAAGATACTTTTTATCCACTGACATGCTTGTACGTATTATTCCTATGTTTTTTTTTTTTTTTTTGTTTTTTCCTCCATGAGCTCCATTGATGGGGAACAATAGCCATGTACGATTACCGAACGTCAAAGGGGACGGTGGTGATCCGCTTATAAGACGATCCGAGGCTCTGCACGGTATGGTAGGACATACGTATAGATGGATACAATAATAGCGAGGAGCGCCAGGCGAAAGAGAAAGACTCCTGTTGATGTATTGGCGCGAGGATGAAACCAAGTCGGTTGTGTTATCCGTGGCTCTTGACGTCCGCGGTTCGTTGTGCATGTACACGGTTTAGCTTTTGCTTTCTCTTTCAGACGAGTGCACGCAGGCATGCTCTAGTTCACCGGGTGCGCGCCTACCTGTAACGCCCGCGCCTCCGACTATCCGTCCATCATCTCTCTCCCTCGTGATCCTCTTTTTTTTCTCCCCGGATTTTCCGACAAGATTAACGCCACCTGTGTGCATTCACGGTGTTTTGGTTCACCCTGATGCATCCAAGATCTGCTCTCAAAGTGTCATAAAGGGACCAGAGAACAAGAAAAAATAAGAGCGGGTAGACAAGTATCGGCTCATAATTTTTTTTCAAGCATACGGGAGCGTACAAAAAACCCGTTGTACTTACAGACGATTGACTTTGTGTTAATTAAAAAGCGCTAAGATGGATAGAATCGCCGGCTTATTTTCCGAGCAATTAATTCTCGCACGCGGTTAATAATGTATAGGGGTCCATAGAGCACACGCGGGATACTGCACACGTATATACATAAGAGGCACGAAGAAGAGAAACTTTGTATCATTTTGATTAGAGCTGCAATAGGGGAGATGATGTGGTGATCGATTAAAAAATACCGGGCTGTTTGTTAAAAAAAAAAAAAAATAACTGTATGTGCACACACATGTGTATGTATATTTTTCTGATTAAACGTGTACACGTTAAGTACAACAACAACAACAACAACAACAACAACGTGAATCACGATAAAAACTAGTGTAAATGCATTTATTGTTCTCGTTGATAAACCCAGTGGTTTTTGTTTATTCGTCTTTATGCTATCAGGTTAAAAAAAAAAGGCACGCATGTCTTGTATATAGGAAAAAAATTGTGATTCCGCAAAAATCGCTTTTTCCATCCACATGTAATATTGCTAGTGCATACGTGTATATTGTACACTAAGCATTTTGAGACTCGACTAATAAAATTGACTTTGATTCCTTTGTGCTCTGTTCGATCGGCAAAAACAGCAAGTATAAAATATAAAACAAACATGAAACAAATCTTACAAAACTAGACAGGCCCTCATTTTGATTACAATTTCTTTTTAGCCTCTCAAAATTAAATCAGAGGTAAGCGTATATGGGTACACAACACATGGCAGACAACCACGGACTCTTAGGAATAGTACTTTTTGATTTCTTTGAGAAGAGGCGTCTCCGTCATCTCATTGATCTCGACGAAGCGCTTACCAGCTCGGCTAAAGTAGTAGATATCACCGGTGTAGATGTCGAACCAGAGCGCGTGCACGTGCAGATCGTGCTTTTCGAGGCGTTGCTTGAGAAAACCGTACGACGCGACGTTCTGCAGCTGCTGCAGCGTGTTTATCTGCGAGAGCTTGTCCTCGACGGCAAACTTGTTCTCCGGGTCGATGTAAGCGACAAAGCGCCGCATCGGCGTCTCCGCCTGGAACATGAGCGGCTCCTTGAAGTTGGTGATCTCCAGCTGCTGGAACTTGGCGAGGCTGCTGGTACCGTGGGCGCACAGCCAGGCGCGCAGTGGTGACAGTCGCCTGTTCGCCTAAGCTCGAATGATTCTCGTGTTTTTGTTCATGCTTTTATTTTAGAATCCGGTAAGTATTCAGGGTATGAGCGTGTATTAAAGATAAATTACTTGTGACGCGAAATTCTCGTCCCTCAGGGCGTACAGCAAATTCATGGCCTTGCAGTCGCTGTGTCCGCAGACGATAACGTGCCTTATGTCATTGACGATGCAGCCAAGCTCTAGCGCAGCTGGTTCGCACATTGTCAGCTCGTCATCGAAATGATGGGAATGTGGTACTATGTTGCCTGCGTTTCTAACTAAAAAACAACAACGACAGTGTATGAACGCATGGTAGATCAGTGTTGAAGCGTAGTTCTAAATCGATTTTGATGACTGAAGGAGCAAGAGGTAAACAAAACTTTGTTTAAAATGCGGCAACTTGTGGGGGGATTCGAAATAGGTACAGGTAGGTAAATCGAGAACTCGTGTGATAATACATGAGTTACTACTGTCGCATGAGTTTATGAATTTCATAATACATTACATGTATACCGTTAGAGAGGGATGAGCACTATGAGTTAATTATAAATGCGATGATAATGTGTCCACGTAGTTTTTGTCGTACCAACAAACATGTCTCCAACATTAGTTTCCGTAAACCTAGTTGGAATCATCCTGGAGTCCATGCAGGTAAAGAACACCGCCTGGGGCTGAGAAAACACAAAGGCACACACAGGCACGCATGGAAACGCATGTTATTGCTTCGTGAAACACAGAGTATAGGTCAAAGTTCAAGGCTTTAGCGAACCTACCAGGTCCTTGGCATTACCTCGGGATGATCCTTGACTTGCTGGAACTGCTTGACCATGACATCCCTGTGGCACTTTCTGTACCTCATCACACCTTTGAGAATCCGATCCATGGCTTCTTACCAGATTGTCGTTGTTACCGATTCATCCGAGATCACTATCGTCATCGGCATGGCATGACGCGACACTATCGCCAGACACTGGCTAATGTTATGCATTTGCCTCTTGTACAGCGTGGCGAGTGTTTATACTCATAGCTCTCGTATCAATGGGTTAAAATATCGGAGCCATGCACGAAAAACGATCACGTGAAGACAGAGAGAGGGGCCAAACATGTATCAGCTGATCGAGAGAGAATAAACGGAGCAGCGCGGGACTTTCAAACAGGAACTCGAGATGGCCGTTAGTGAATGCCAGATGATGATGAGCTCGACCAACAATGTGATGTTCAAAATTTTCAAAGTAATTCTACTGTTTTATTTCACAAGTAAAAACATTTTGCTGGTCCAATAAAAGTATAATACTAATCTATATGCTGTTTACTGAATTTTACAAAATCGATGGAAATCTATATTTTATGATGAGCAATGTCTTTTGTCACATCAAAAAGGAGATTGCTGTCTTTGGTTTTGACTAGTAAATACTTAAACCATCAGAAAAAAAAGAAATCTCACTTTACTTAACAAGAGTTTAAACATACATTTATGTATTAGGTCTTAATAAAAATAAAAATACAGACTTATTTAGCTCATGGCTGTTTGTAAAAACGCAAAATTGCATAATTTGACGAATAAAACAAAAACTATTTATGTAGCATTTCAATAAGGTCATGTATCACTTATAATAAAAAAGATTATAATGTAAGCAAGTGTAGAGATTTAGAGAACTTTGTAAACAGATATCTGTGTACGATTAATACGTGAACACAGTAACTCTACAACACTTGCTTAATAACATCAAATTGGTTTTTTTTTTTTTTCAATTTTTTTCTTGTCTATAGTACGTTAAATAAGACCATAAGCGAAGAGCCGTCTCATGTACAGTTTTTTTGTAACAAATCCCTAGATTCTCAATTACTCAGTGATGGGCGGCTCGATCTCGCCTTGGCCGGGCCAACTTCTATCTGCTCAGAGAGGAGTTACTCTGGCTGGCACGTTCAAGCTTCTCAAAGTGTTTACGTGCATTTCGAATGTTGATTAGCGTCGCAGCAGAGGCTGAACAAAATACATTTTCATTTATTACAATCCCGTATTGACAGAAAATTGTTCAGTTGTAAAACATATTTACGTTATATTTGTGAAAATTTAGAAGCAACAAATCAATGCTTTTAAATTTTCAGGTTGTAAAAATCTATAATGGACACTGTTATGTGCCTTTACTTACGTATAGTTGGGTCAGATACCACAACCATCACATATGTATTTGATGTAAAAACATCAATAAAGGCTGCAAAATTACTATTCCTAACTTCCATACTGGAAAATTGAGCAGCTAATTTACTATAAACAGAATACATAATGAGCGACTTTAAGTTTTGTTGCCCTGTTATATTTAAAAACCTCAAATACACACCTGCAGCTAAGTTTGAACTGTTTGATAATGTTTGATACTTTTTCAAAGCGGTGTACATCTCTATGATACCGTCTTTGACAATGACTAATTACAAGGAATGTTGCACGTTCAAAAAGTAATACCTCATCAGCATCGATAATATTGGCAAACTGGTTCAAGCTTTGCTCGAGTTCCTTGACATTTGGAATCAACATATAAACGATGGAAGACCAAGCTCTGAATAAATTGAATGCATTCAATTTAACGGAACATTCGATTTTTGGATAAACATAAATCCAAACTCACTTTGTGATAATAATCAAACATAAAGCATGATTTCAAGAGTGAAATAACAATATATGGATGTTGATGGTTCACAGAATATAAAGCAAAAAATAAATGAATATAAGTTATGACACATACCTGTACAAAGTTTCATCCCAAATACTAGTCTTGAAGCAAGTACACTGTAGAGGCAAACTCAGTCTTTTCAAATCCTCTTCTCTCTCCTTAAATATCGAATCCCGCTGATCCTCCTGAACTAGATCCATTTTGTGAATGAGACAAAATACCTTTGCTTCAGGACTGTTCTGAAGTATGGCTTCCAAGCAGCTCTGATAATAATGCATATCTTTGTCTAATTCACGTGATTCAACATCAAAAACATAAATCAGGACTTCGACGTTCCTAAAGATGTTTTCTCTTTGTGACACAAAATAGTTTTCCATAAAGGCCTCCTGCCCACCGCAGTCCCACAAATTAAGAACGAGATTTCCAAGAAAGCGCACATGACTGTGTTCAACGTCAACTGAAAGAAATTAGGAATTTGCTCATTGAAATGTCAAGTATTCAAAGCTATACTGGCGCAAATAAAAAAGTAACGATGATATAAGCAATTACTTGTTGCTCCCAAGCGACGAGTATCCCTGGCAATATAATTGGCAAAGATGATACTTCGCATGCTCGTCTTCCCCGAGCCGCTTTTGCCCATCAGAAGCACCTGGAACAACAAACAATTCTCATTTTTTGTTAATATATTGATCATAATTATAACAAAAGTGGGCGTTGTAGCGAATCGTATTCTGATGAAACAACACTTACCTTTTTCTTCATCTTGACAGTTATCCTGAAGCACTCGTACCTCGTAGATTACCCAAAAAGCGACCACCAGAAAGCAGGATGGCGCTTTGCCCGGTTAACCCTGGCAGTCTCGTCTATCCTGATTAGTACAGATACTTGACAAACGTGCACAACGTTCTTGTAAGACGTAAACAAAGGGTACTTATGAAAAAAAACAGCCCACTTGCGTTGTGAGCGATCGCAGAACTCTCAAAACTGAACTAAAGAGTAAGGTTAGGTTATCATTCCCAGCAACAGGGAGGGTAGGCGTAGGCGTTAATACCTTTTAGTCATGAGTATTAAAGGTATATAAATGTTTATTTACCATCTCATAAAATTATTTATACGACAAAGGTTCGACCTCCATTAACAAATAAATATATTTACAATTGTATACAAAGACTTGACATGTAGGCAGTTAAATATGCGTCTTTATATTTGTCAATGAAAAAAATTGACTGCTTTTTCTAGTATTTCCAACGATTCCTCATTGCACTTTGTTTTTTCGTTAGGAAGATAAGGAGGCGTGAATTCTCTGTACGCCAAACAAACACGACGCGAATTTACGTCTTCTCTCAATACAGCATGTTCCCATTGGTACCTTAAAAGATATTGCGTTACAAAACGATATTGATTAAAATCAAAACGTTAAGATTTGATCAAAATTTATTTTACCTTGCTTGCGCATAGAGGACCATTAACGAGCCCACTGGCATAGGTAATCTGACAACGTAATTCATTTCTGGTAAGTCTTCATTTTGATAGTGTTCCACACAATTTAAATTGTATTTGTCTCTGGAGCCCCTGTACGGTGTCATCGTTAGCACAGAATCTCCCAGTACGTTAACTGTGATTATTCTCTCCCCCCAAATCCAACAATCGTCAATGTGTGGATCAATGGAAGCTCCCTTTTGAGGATCGTATTCAAGACTGCATTGTTCAATTGTTTGAAAATCATTTAATTTTGGAACTTGACTAAGCTTATCTTGAACAAACTTTGTACACTCTGGAAATCCATTGAAATTTCCTAGTTTCAAGCGTTTTTTCTTAAAATTCGTTTTAGGTCCAAAATTCTAAAAATAATAGAAAAAGTGTTGATTTTGCATGTTGAATTACCTTCACTATCATCATAATTACAAGTTTTCTCATACCTGTTTCCTTCTGCCGCTTTGAGATGTATCCCATGGTAAAGAATCCAAGCTATTAATTAATGCATCGCATTCGTCAGTGTTTAAAAAATCTAACTAAAATAAGAAAAACATGATTTTTCTTCAACTGGCTATGCGATAAATTTACTTGACAGTAAAATAAAATACAACAGTACTTGTATGTATGTCCCAGGAAAATCAACATGTATCCCTTGATGATTGGGATGTTCTTTATATAAACTAATGTCCCAACCTGGCCATGCTTTGTCACAGTGAGGGCAGTAAACGTAACTTTGTAATTTCTATAAAATGGTTGATGCACTTGTTACTTTGTTACATTGACAACTAATTAAAGATAAAGAAATGTAATTTTCTAACCTTACACTCGTCTGCAAAGTCCGGCTTTAAAATGTTAAAGTCTTTTTCGCAAATTAAACACGTGCGAATGCCTTTGCAGCCACAGGGTCGTACTGTTTCCATTTTCAAATAAAATTGTCAATAATGTGTTTAAACTTTAAACTACAAAAACAAAAATATTAATATGATACTAATGAGAGAAGCAGACGCCACAAATGCACGACATGTATATATATATGTCAAAACGTCCATTTCTACATTACCTACTGCTGATGAAAATTTTAGAGCAAATAAACTTCAAATTGCTCGAACTCATAATTTTTTTTTTTTTCTTATACCTAAATCTATTAAGTAGATATTGAGTCGAACTTTTCAAGACAGATTTTCAAAACAATATCCATCGACGAATTCATAAAGAAATGACCCACAAAATAAGTTTCAGTTGATTAACAAACGGATTATTAGAATATATACACCTACTTTTACAATTTTTAGCTGGAAATCAGAAAAAAATATATCGTACGTGTTTCGTCAAATGTGTTATTTTTATCGAAACTACAGGTATAGCCCATTGATCTGTACAAAATTGTTAGGTACTTGACGTTACCACAAAAATATGGACCTAAAGCTGGAAAAACTAGTTTTGCCTCGATACCCGTGATTTTACGATCAAAATTCCTTTCGAAAATTATACCTTATTGCGTGTTACGCCAAATGCAACAATCTGTAATTGGAGCAACTTGTGTGTGTACGCAATATGATACCAACCACATGATCAACTGGATACCAAATTTCACGTATTTTATCTCTTTTTTATTTCAACTTGTGTGGAAAAATACACTTGAGCCTCTACATGAGAAGATACGAGCTTAAAAACAGTACCAAAAATCTTGTGCTGCGCATGTAGACGTATGGGACAAAAATTGTCCATCACCAAATGGCTCAATGAACAAAAAACACATCGTGGTATGGTCTCATTCACCCGACAAACAATAATACAATGGTCGTTATGACGGTGAAATTCGCCAACGAAGTACTAAAAACCTTCGAGGCGTACACCTCGTTAACAACGAGGTTTACAGTATGTGACGGCGAAATTGTCGCGATCGAGGATTTTGCATCGGTAGTTCTTGTAGGTCGTGAGGAATAACCACCGGCTCGAAACCCGGACAATCCGCAGCTGCGGCCAACTCCTCGTAGTAGGCCCACTGACGCTCGCACATCCTGTTTATGTGCATCGGCTGCAAGACATTCAACAAAGTTGGGAATATTCAATAAAAAAAGGAAAAAAAAGCGTCGACAACTCACGGCGACGCTCTTGTCGAGCAAGCCCCGTTTTTTCCCGGTCGTACTCGTCGCTCATTTGTCGCGGGGACGGCAGCTCGAACCGTCCCTCGATGACCCCGAGGATGCACTGCGCCTGCACGTGGAACATGGGAAACGGCACGACGAGGGCCGGCAGACCCAGTAGGAACAACTTCGGCCAGTCGATGTGAACGAGGTGCTTGTAAACCGGCTCCACGTGGTTGTCCCCCTTACGGATCTCGATTTTCGGCGACACGAACGGATACGTGAACTCGTACCCTGTTTTTATTTAACAACAAGTAAGGTATATACGTAACGGAGCTTGGGGTAAGAAAAAAATGCACAGCGTGACCTTGCCCGTGCAGTAGGTGAACGCGTCGATCCGCGCCGAGGAGCCGTTACGGAAAACGAATTTGTTGGCCTGTGTGCTATCGATACCCGGCACCTGCTCCACCGCCCTGGGCATTTTCACGTCTACCGGCTTTGGAAAGTTGTGGCTCAAGTAAATCTGCGTTCACCCCTTCTCTGTTGATTCGTGTATCGCGCGATGGGTAATATAACAAAAAAAAACAAAAAAACAAAAAAAATGGTACTTTTTGGCGTGCTTGTAGTACGCAAACGGTCTTGCCCGCGTACTTTTTCGGGCTCCCGTACCGATGGCTGTGCAGACAATCGCCCGTAAAAGTCTCGGCGCCCTTGATCTCCGGCACATGGGGAACCGTGTAGTGGCCGTTGCAGAGAACCACGGCGTCGTACGTCCTGACGCTCTGGAGGCCGGTCGTCAGGTCGGTGTACCTCGACGCGTACACGACTTGGCCGCTGGACAGATTCTCCGGCTCTACTTGGTTCACCAGGGTGCTCAGCTGTACGGGTACTTTTTTTTTTAAACATTCAGACTTTTACTTCTTTCGTACAGCGCGATTGTGGGACTTTGGAATCGGGTTCTAGTTGTGTTTAAATTAAAAATCGGTACTTCAGAATAACTCAATAGTTCTTTACCTTTGTTTTTTTTTTTTTTTTTTTTATATATATATATATATATATATAGTGGCGTGCCACTAGTTAGCAAAAAAAAGTACCATTATTTCCGATTCACGTGGTACTTGGTGCATTGAGTTATTTTGCTCACCTTGACGTGAGGATGTAGATGGAAGTGTGTCGCGTAGTCCTCGAGGTACTTTCGCACGACGCTGTGGTGAACGAAGGAGGAACCGTCGTCGGTCTCCTCGAAGAAAAAAATCCGGTATTTGCATGATCTTCTTGGGCAGGTTTGTCTTGCGTTCGGCGAAAAATCGTTAAATTTAACGAAAACAAGAAAGATTTGTTGGAGCGCCTTTATTTGTACGCACACGAGGTTCTTGTACATGCTGCTGTGCACGGGCAGGCCATTTTTGTCGAGATGGGTATCGTCCGTGTAGACCCAAGTGCCGCCGATCTGCTGCCGTTTTTTGCTCTGTACCTTGTGACATTTTGCACAAATGGCAAAAGTTCACAGAGGAGGTATTATTGCATTGGAGCGATGTGTTGACTAGCCCATAGTATATATGTACGATCCAACGTCATGTTATGACGAAAGCGCCGTTTACAAAACAAGGCTCGTCGTGTACCATACAACGTACATTATACACGTAATATACGCGTACGTAGCATCAATTGCCGTAGATATATATATATATATACGAGTGTGTCATTGCAAATCGCACGTAGTAGTAGTATAGTAGTTTTGTCCAATAATCCCCCTGAACATACTACAATATCAGCTGGGTTTTTTTTTTTCATATTTGACTGAGTTGCAGAGGAAAACGTTTTTTCCCGAATTTATTTTTTTTCTCCGCCCTTCAGTCCAGCCCGTCATCACCGAGGCGCAGCGGAAACAGCTCCTCGAGTACGGCTCTACGAGGACGAGGCTGGTATAGCATTGCCATCAACACGCAATTATCATCCTGCCATTATTCTTGCAACTGCAGTCGTTTTTACTTTTCAGTTCCCGAGCAAGCGCCACTCAAATCCGTGCCTCACGAACAAAAACTATATATTGCTGCTTTCCCGCCCAGCAAGGAGGCAGGCAAGGTTCCTTTAGGCCAAACCCTAAAAACCGCAATTTTACAGCATTATTCTTACATACCTGTATGATTGACAGTAAAAATGATCGATCCTCGTGCACATATTTCCTTTGGACATGATATTATTGATTCATTCGTGTATACACACTGACGCGAGCGCAAAAAATCTTTAAACTAATCGGTAAAGAAAAGAAAAAAAAAAAAAAATCGCGAGCTCTCGTGCATAATTTAGCGGACGCAGGTCTCTTTTTTTTTTCGCGGCTTGAGACTCGTATAGTCGTATATACATATATACCTGTGCACGTGCACACATGTAGCACCCCTCGACGGCTCATCTTTCTCTTCTTCTCCCGTCATAAAGGGCCGTAAAATTGTGCCCCGACTGCGGGCTTAATGGAAGCCCCAGATTGCGCGATTGCAACGGAGGTCACTCGCCTCAAAGACAGCGCCGCCTGACCATCAGGCCAGTAATAGCTTTTTTTTTTTTTTTTTTTTCCAATTCACTCCATCAGCGGAAGAGCTCTGCATTTTCTTTCCCTCTCACTTCCCGCTTTTCTTTTTCTTCGCATCTGTGGAGGTGATGCTGATGCGCGAGAGAGGAGCGCGCGCTCGAAGGAGCTTACGTGCAGCCGGGAACTTGAGGAGTCGAATGGAGACGCGGGAGAATAAAACACGTTTAACGGTGAGATATATATGTTAGATCGAGGGAAAACATTTAAATGTCAAACGAAGAAACGCGTTCCCCTTACATGTATATAATATATATATATACGGATGGGACAATGTGTATCTCAACACTTGAATGAATAATTTTCGTATAGAGTGACGCGTATAGTGTATTTTTTTTTTTTTTTTTTTTTTTTCAATAGAAATAGCTCTAGATAATTACAGCAGAAAGGAAATCCCGTTTGATACGGAGGTATCGGCTCGGGGGGACCGTTCACTTTTTGTTTTCCTATATGCGTCTTTTCCACTTTACCCTGACACAAAAATGTTCAATCAAAAGCCTTATCTTCCAACTATCGCCTACACTTTCTTATCAGCTTAATACCACAAGTGTAAACGACACATTTTTAAAATTATTTCTACATGTTTTGGCAGCGAAAAAAGTGCAGCTTGAAAGTTGCGTGACGTGTATCAATAAAAAAAAAAAAAAAAAATCCAACGTTAAAAGTTTGTTTACTTTGCAAATAAAGTCAAAGATTAAGTTCACCGCAGTGTCATAGCTAAGCTATATTTATGTATACGAAATGTTCACACAAGGTTTCATGACAATTCACAGTAGCACGTGTCCTTGGCACCGACGGGCGTTGAGGAGAAAAAAAAAAAAAGGTCGAAGCCTCGACGGCCGAACAATCGAGTACTTACTTCTCAGTTTACGGTCGAAGCCGATAATCTAAATTTTCACGTCACTGCACGTAACAATGTTGCGCTGAGCAAAGTGCGAATCAACGATCACACACGTACGAGGGATATGTGTAGGAGGTATGAGCTGGATCCCAATGAACGAGAAGTCTTGCCAAGCTATATAGGCATAACGTTTTATGTTTGTTCAATTTTATTTTCTTTTTCTTTTTTTATAGCTGGCACTGTTGTATCAGACACCTTAATTATTATTATTATTATTATCATGAGATGTTTGCTTCTTCGATTTTACGATATTTTTTCTTCGAATTGGAAAAAAAGTAGACTTTGTTCGCAAATAATGATCATTCGTTCAATTGTTTGACATGCAACAAACTTGGTACTTATCGAGGAAAATAAATGTATTGGATATCTCATGAGCAGTTGACTCATAGAGAACCAACTTATCGCTGCATTACACAAGATAAATATTCTCTTGACCTGCTAATTAGGTACGTCGCAGAATTGTTTTGCTCTCGAGCTCAATTTCGTTAAATGATCTTAGGGACAACAAACAACGTTTCCAGCGATTTTTCTCGAGCTTTGAATCACTTGGTGTCGGGCAATCGGATACAATGTGCCAAAATGACTACATGCCAACGTACGGCTATCATCCACTCGCGTATACAATACACTTGATTAGCGAGTGGGAGAAAGTAAGGCCAACGTATATACGCAAGTTAGTGCGTGTGCCACGCGTCAATTGTAGAAAGCCTATGCAGTGTATATTGCTCAATAGTTCTTTTTTTTTCTTTTTCTATGGCTGATAGTGCGCTAGTTCGCTATCACATTTGGCACGAAAAGTTACGTGTGAAATATCAGAAATTTTGAAAAGTCTATAAAGACGAGTTTGGGCCACTGAGTTTTGGAAATTTCATTTAAAACAAGATTTTTCATGGGTTTGCTCTTACAAAAAAAAAAAAAAAATGCACCTGCACGGAACATCATGTAATTATCGACCCGGTTGGTTCACACTTAACCACGATAGCGCGTCTATGTATAATATACTCTTACGTGCACTGTAAGCTCTAATGAGCGAAAATTAAATGCGAGGTGCAATAAAAAAAAAAAAAAAAAAAATACACGCGCTAATGCTTGGAGTGAGAAATTATTTTGATTTACTTTCAAAGATTTTCAACTTGTGTATATTTAAGACGGTCCCTGAGAAACATCAAATTAATACGATATGTCTTATTTCGTGCGACACAAGGTATTTCGTAATTGAAAAACTTTCTTATCGGGGTAGGTATACGTATTTTAATCTAAAAGTATTTTTCGATTGAAAAATTTTCAAATGAATCCGGACACGCTAATACGAATTATCGCACTTTCTTCATCCAGAAAAATATTGTCCAAGTGTCTGAGCACTTGATTAATGTTTCTGTAAAGTTACGTCGTATAAATAACATTTTGATGGATTTAAAACAGTAAATAAAAGTACATGTGATGTTGTCAAGTAGTTAAAAATATTTCCTTGTGTAAATCCTGTAAAACACGTTTAAAACGGTGACGGCATGAAACTATTTCTACAGCCAACATCACCCAGCTGAGTCTTGTTTGTTTTAAACTTTTTTTTTTTTTTTTTTTTTTTTTTTTTTAAAATGAAAAAAAAAACTAGCGAATAATATTTAATGAAAATAAGAATTGAAAAGGATATTGAAAATGTATAACGTCCCATTTATATGCGTGATTTCACTACCAATTTTTTTTTTTAATTTTTTTTTTTTACTTGATAAGATTAGTTTTAAGCACAATTAAAACAGAAATACAGTAAATTATACTTGAATCAAAGTAGAGATACTTTATCGGCTGAAAAAAGGAAATCATAGTAACGTTGACTTTGTATTATGGGACACGAGGTGTACACGGGGCCAAAGGGAGCGAAGAGATGATGCATGGAAAAAGCCAACGACACTTATTTGTCCTTCAACGAGAACCAGCCAATCATCTCCAATTACAATAAGCTTCGGTCAAATAAAATTTCCGAGCCGCCCCAAAGTGAAATTGATACAAATTAAATAATGATCGCGGTAATCGAACACGAGGAGTTGGCGGATCGTCAAAGTACACCATTCCCGTACAAATGAAGTAAGCGGACTTCTTTTTTTTTTTTCTCACGTGCCAATAAAATCTCCGAATGATGTGTATAATTTTTACTGTCACTTGAACGCTGTTTTGCCCCAGAAATTATCCCGTACGACCATCAGAGAAATCAGATACTCTTCGGTTTCTATGTACAGTCAAGTGTATTTATTAAAGCTATGGAGCAGTTTAATTTCCATTAGGTACTTGCGAGCAATTAAATTACGCGTCGAATAGCTATAGGTCATCGATCCTTCGGAGCATTACCTCCACTCATCAGTGTGATAACCACGCACTTCTTTTTTTTTTTTTTTTACGCCCGTCTCGGCACGCGGTTACGTCATTTTACGTAATGACAATGCCTTTCGCAAACATTTAACGGACGCGCCGCATGTAGTTGTGTCGTCGTACTTATATATGTCGTGCAGCTGCTATGAAATTTCCGGTTCAAGATGTACTCGCGTATAAGCTTCAAGTCTAATCGAACCTTAAAATTTAAATGTAAAATAACGATAACGGTACGGAGTATGAAAAAAAAAAAAAAAAAAAAAAAAAAAAAAAAAAAAAAAAAAAAAAAAAAAANAAAAAAAAAAAAAAAAAAAAAAAAAAAAAAAAAAAAAAAAATGTAAATGAATAAATTGTTTTCAAGTTCTCCAATCGAATACACTTGTACGCATAAGCTCCTAATGGCATTAAAAAGAGAGCTAGAGCCGGATAATAGTGAAAACATATTCCAACCGCAGCAGCTTCTATTTTTACAGATTGAATCATCATCGCGAACAAGCAAACAGAGCGATCGTTCTCGCGGCCAAAGAGGAGGAAAATAAGTGTATGAAAAAAAAAAAAAAAAAAAAAAAGGAAGCCAAAAGAAACCCAAGGATTACTCATTGCCGCGTGTTTTATCGACAAGCGTCACTCTATCAACACACACACGTATACGCGTATGTGATTGCACAGTAGCTGCATGCATATATTTATACACTTGAGCATAAAATTAGCGCTTCTCGCTCTGCTCGCCCTACATTCGCCGTCCCGACGAGCAAGTGTGCATAAACCCCTCAGGCCTTCCCTGCTGTTCCTCGGCACCCTTCTGGGCTACCTATACATGTATTTATATACCAACAACGTCCCGGAAGAATAAATTAAGCTCGCCGATGTTTTACGTTATGCCGCTGGAGGAAAAAAAAAGGCGGATCGTAAACGTGAAAACAAACAAAAGGTGTTGTGCAATTTTTGTGCATGTGCAGCAGTCTGATAAGAGTGAGAAGCGTATATAATATGTAGCAGCGGGGGTGTATGGTACTGCAAAGTGTCAAAAAAAATAAAGGTGGCGCGAAACTCAAGAGGAGGAGGAGGAGGGAGAAAAACAGAGACAGAGCTATATAGCGCGCACGAATAAGGCTGCTTGCTTGCTCTCCCCTCAGTCTGTTCCGTGCATCAACGACAGCGGTACGATGGTGCGGCTTACTGCATTGTGCGCGCGACTTTTCGTGGGTGTGTAGCTGCGTCAGAAAATGCATCCGGAAAGTGCAATTCGCAGTAAACAACGTTATAGTGGCGTCTTTCTTTTTTCTTCCGTCTCTCTCTCTGCGTGCGTGTAGAGTTATTGTTTGTGCATACCTGTACTTTTACCGGCTCTACGTGTGATACAACACGAGTATACATAGTGTCGACCCTTACTTATTACTTAGTACCTACCCTTTTTGGAGGCGTTTGCAACTGCAACGGTTTATCAATAAGGAGCCTGCCAAAGATTGTCTGATTGTTGAGCAACGATTACTTTAAAAAAAAAAAATGGGTGAGTCAGACGGTAACATCATCATTTAGTTAAGATAATGAGTTCGGAGTGAGTTTTTTTAAAATCATTTATCGCAAGGTGAAGCCTATCGGGTTACACGTGACTTTTCTGTCAGAAAAATTCGTTACGGCCTTGGGTTTCACTTTGGCATTGCTTCGGGACTCGGGACACGTTGCCCCATTGCTTGCTCTGTATATATGTATAATAGGCTCTGTGGGACGTGAGAACTGTCCTTGTATTAGATGTACTATTATTGCTCAATTAAGTCATTATGTGTATAAACGAGTTGAATCATGATATTATTGAATTAAAACTTTTTCTTTGCGAGTAGCTGAACAAATTGTCATGACACCAAAGTGCAAAACTGCCAATTCTACCACTTTGATTATTGAGAGAAAGAAACAGGCGGTTGAAACTGTGGCCAATGGAAATCATAAGGACGTCCATGTAGCTGGAGGGGATCACAAAGGCATTGTTATCAATAAACAGATGACTGGTACATGTTTTTTCTTTTCGTCATTTCCAAACACGTATCGGAATTTTATTTTTTTTATTAATCATTTTTTTTCTCGGAATTTCAGCCAACAACGATGTTGCGAAACCAGCACATTTATCTTTGCAGTTCAAAGTATTTTTAGTCAGTGCACAAAGTGAAAAGCATACACAGGAGCAGAGAACTTTGAATTTTTGGTTTATTGAAAATCTACCGTCTGAATCTCGGCCTTCTGTGGCTCAAGAATTTTTCAGAGAACTCGTTAGTCCTCAGGAGTTTCCAAGAGGTAGGATACCTGATAAACTAATATTTTTTGAGATACATCAATTGAAATGACATTTGAATTATTTATTTCAGACTATGTTGGATTTATTAAAAAAATTATGAAATTAATACAAAACAAGTATCCTCCCGTTGAACGCATAGAAGTGGAATTAAAACAGATTGAAGAACAAGTTGAACTTCCGGCTAGACCATGTGAGTATATTGCTACATTTTATGTATTGAATAATATATTGCTCGTTGAGTCTTGCTTATTCGAGACTTTGTAAGGAGGCATAGAAAACAAAGGTTACCAAGCTAGTATTGATCAAACAGTTGGCATAAGAAATTCCTTTATAATTTATAGACCACATGCAAATGTATAAGTGACACGACTAAAGTATTTTATCTTGCTGCTTGTATGAAAATGATCAAATTGTTAAAAAATGGTTAAAAACTTGAAAAAAGTAAATGTGATTTTATGATTACAGTATCAGCAGATGAAACTTCTTTAGGAGGTACTCAAGTCATCGAACTAACTACCGAAAAAATTCTTGAGCTGATTGAATCTGCTTATCCAAACCCACTGACAATTCAAGACTTGGCTGAGTATGTAAACGATAATCTATTGCAATTTTTTTGTGATTTACCTTATCTTCATAAGAAAAATTGTATTAGGGATCATGGCTGGGATATCGATACCGTGGCAGAAAAAATATTGGAATTACAAAAGAAAGGTCTTGTTATTGCGATGGATAACGGTGCCTTTACGCGAGTCGTGCACCAAGATGTTCAAATTAAAGTAATAGTCGTCAAATTTCTTCCTTTGCTGTTAAAATGATAAAAACTTCAATTAATTTAATTGTTTCCTTTGTAGGTCGTTAAGCAAATGCCTACAATGACTGGTGCGAAGCAGCCGACCATAGCTATAATTACAGCCCAGTACTGCGAAAAACTCGCCGTCGACTCAATGATTGAAAACAAAGAAACTTTTGTTCGATACAATACCGTTGGTGAGTAAATGACACTTATATATGACTGAAATATCAATGAAACTGGTAACGGTTTATACCAAATAATAAATGAAAGCTCCATTCAGATGTAACGTATATACATTACATAATTTGATGTATAACATTTTAACTCACAAATATAACTGAAATCGATTCCTTCTTGGCGTGAATCTCTAGGAAGTGAAAACATTGAAGATCACTCCGACGTCAGTAATCTCAATTATGCAACTGCTAAACACCCACGGGTGACTCGGCGAATCCGTTTCGGTAAAGTTATGCGTCAGAATGACGCCACTCGAGATTTTCGAGTCGCTTGCGTGGAGTCTACTTGATTACTGTGTTTTGTCTAATTAGCTTTTTGCTTGGAAACGCATAGATGACAAAAATCATTGAAAAAAAAATTTTTTGCTTCTGGAATTACGATTCATGAATGGTGATGGAGACACATCCGTGGAATCATTCGTTTACTTTGAAAATCTTTATAAATTAGATAAAAAATGTTTAATTATTTCACATGCTTACTTTTGTGTGGAAAAGTGTGTTTGCTTTTATGAAATGCTTCATCGAAAAATTTATTCAATTTAGTTTATGGTTTGAGTTTCAAATTTATTTTCCGTTTTCGACTAATGTATTATTTTTCCCAACACTAGGTGAATCTAACGTTTACACCCTGGGTGACATTGGCGCACATCGAATCGTTTGCACAAAACTGCCAACTGTGGGCCACACTCGGGAAGCTATGACTGCTGCTGGCAATACCACTACTCGACTTCTTGGTACCTTCCAAAAGGTTGACTACGTATTTCTTGTGGGCGTGGGTGGTGGTGTACCTCACTACACTGATTACAAAAAACACGTGCGACTCGGTGACGTGGTTATCTCCTATCCCACTCGGGAGAATAACAAATTCGTTTACATGTTCTGTGAGAGTGCAGAAATGCATGATGACGGTAGCTATCACTTTGAGACTAAGGAGTATTGCCCTCCGAATTTGGGCTTGCAGGACATTGCAGCAAATCTTAAGAAACAAGTAGGTTTTCACAATATTGTAATAGTATAATCATGAAGAATATTTTAACTAGATTGGTAAAAATTTACGAATAATATTTTTAAGGTGAATGCTAGTGAAGGTTTTGATGCGCCATGGCAAACGTATATGCGTCAGGGCCTCAAAAATTTAGGCACACAATCTGAACATAATTTTGAAGCCCCACCCATAGAATCTGATAAACTCTACATGAATATTGGCGAAAGAGATGTAATTGAAGTCTCTCATCCAAGTGCACCCAAGGGTGATGCTTTATACGCAAGGTACAAATTTATTTGTAAACGTTATTTTGTATTGATAATTTATCAACACATATCCATAACTTAATTTTTCGTCCATTTACAGAAATAACAGCTGCCAGCAAATTCATTTAGCTCCAATAGCCTCGGGTCGCTGTGTATCCCGCGATGATCAACTACGCCAAAAGTTCTCGAGCCGCTTTGGCATATTGGCCTATGATGCGGAGATGGATGCAGTTGTTGACAGCGTTTTAGGTAACTGTCGTGATAATTTTGCGGTTGTCCGCGGTATTGCTGACTACAAGGATGGGTCACGAGGTAAGGAATGGCAGCCATATGCTGCTCTAGCTGCTGCCAGTGTCGTCAAGGCGATGATTTGTGCAATGGACCCGCCATCCCCATACAAGAAGTAATTCTAGTGTTAAGAAAGAAGGCAAGTGTGTTCTAAAAAAAAATGCATAAAAAAAAATTTTTAAACAATTTTTACGGTTTCGATCTAAATATCTTGCAAAATACCGTAGCAATATCAATCGATGCAACTACAATGATATGATGATTAAAACTTATTGAAAAAAAAAATCAAAATGAAAGTAACCTTTCAAGAATTTAGATCAAAATCCTAACATAAAATCATAGATATATAAAACAGCTGCGCTGTTAATAATTATGTAGATTATAAAAAAAACTTTTGTCTTGTACTTCACATAAGTGGGAATGCAAGGTTATCTTCTACGATGTAAGAAAATACGAGCGTGAGTCTACAAGGCTTACACATAGATTCATCTCAACTTTTTATCTGGTACTAAACATAAGTTTAAAGTGTTTTTACAATTTTTTTTTTATACTTTTGTAATACGCTTTTGACGTTTGTTGTTTGTACTGACTTTGTAATAACCGACTTTTGCATCTTATTTTAATACAAGTATCAATACGATTGGTATTCAATTGAGAGACGGATGAGTCTATGTTTTGAAAATTTTGTACATCAAAATGTAGGTTCGTTATACATTTTACTGCATACTAAATCAACAAAGTACGTCCCTAAGTATTTCAACTGGTGCCGAATATCGTAGAGTTTTGAATAAAATGTTTTTTAGTCTTGTATTAGTATTTATAACGACATTCCATTTTAGGAAAAAAAAATCAAATTTAAAGTACTCAAACTTACCAAACAGGGAAATGCTTCACCGGATAAATAGTTAAGCGCAGGTATAATAGAAATATAAATGCAATTGCAACATTCATCGATCCTCGCTTGTTACTCGTTACTTATTCGGGTTGTTGAATGTGATAAACACTTAGCATTGATTTGCTACATCCTCTATTATTATAATTATAATAATTAATGTAATATTTATAAAACTTTTTCTAATTTACATCATAATAGTACATGCATAAAGATAAAAAGATACATGTTTGAGTATTGTTTAACTGAGCATTTACCAAAGAATGCTATCAGTGAAATGGCTTAAGCGCATAATAATTGACTAAAAAAGCTTTTTTGCTCAAAATCGCTCATCAGCCATAAATTTTAATTACCGTTTATAAAAATAAGCACTGATTAATCTATGCATAAAAAATACTTTTATATACCGATGAGTCTTCAACTAAATCTTTTTTTTCCCAACTTGTTATTGTTCGAACTGTATGTATTCTAAATACGCTTTGCAGGAATATTCGATGCTTAATCGATCGTACACAGTATATTATGTAGATCGCACACACAAGTTCCAAAGATCCCATGCTGCTCGTTCAGAGGGCACTCATAAATGTAGGCCAAATTTTAATGACGTTTAAGATTACATAGAGAGTAATTTACAATAATCTATCATGCACTGAACTTCGGATCTTGTCAATGCGCAAATCTAGTCGCCAGCCGTTGATTGTCCAAGGACTTATCATTACGAGTTTAAGCGTTTATAAATACGTACATCAGATTTTTTTTTTTTTTTTTTTTTATTTATATGAGCAAATAAGCAAATTTATTGAATACCATTTATACTTTTATAATATTTTTATAAATACTTTGACCAAATCTTTGCATGTGACTGAAACATTTCTACGAAAACTTAAAAAAAAAACAAATCATGTGTAACATTTTGACAAAAATCTTCATCTATTTGATTTTGATCCTTGTAACAATTTGCGGCTATAGGCATTTAATAATATATATATACGGTCCATTTACCGACTACGTACCTTAATAAAGAAGAAAATAAAATAAAAGGAATAAGTACATGATACTTAGTAGCCTACTTGGGCTTTGGTGAATTGAAAAAAAAGTGGGTGCACAACCGAAGTGAGACAGTGCTTTTGTTATTGTTTCGTTCAAAATATTTAATTTCGCGACAAATCTTGATTTTCGTACCGCTTGTTGTACTGCCATTGCAACCAATCATACAAAGAAAAAAACAGTCGTTAAACCGAGCTTAAAAACGCACTCTGTCACTTCGGGTAGTTGAATATACCCAATGGAAGTTGGAAACCGCGGGAGCTTAGCGCGCTTTGAAATTTCGAGCTATTTTGTGTAGAGAGACCACGTCGTAATTATAAGATATAAATATATACATAAATATATTTATTGCTGTTACGTATTCAAAATAAAAAAAAGGTATATGCGTTTTATCTTATTTACAACATAAATCAATCGAATGCGCGTGCCTAAGCTGCACGCGTTTTTAGAATGAGCATGTATTAGAGATGGAACGAGATCTGTTCTCAAATAAATCTTTCAGTGAGAGAATAACATACATACGATAATTTCGTTGGCTTTTCTTTAATCACACTCCTGATCCTCGTCTTGAACTCCATCGGGAAATATGTAGTCGACAAACTAAAAAACGGTTCAAGTTGCCATTGTATGATTTGTGATTACCAAGTCTGCGAACATAAAACTAACGTTTATTCGTTTGCATTCGATGTTTGCTCTTATGTTGAACGCCTTTCTGATGCATCGTAAGACAAGACCAAACAAAATTTTGTCGTTCTCATCCTCGAGTTGAATACGCTTGGCTCGCTCGGCGCTAAATTCCGCTTGCCTCTTGCACTCCTTGAGCAACTCGGAGTACTGCGAAACCACGTCCTCCAATGTTTTTTCCAACTTTTCATTTTCTTCATCGCGATTTTTACCATCCAACCCTGACGCTTTTGTGGTCTCGACTTTTATCAACGGCGACAATTCACTTTTCACGTAATTATGAATATCTTTAAGCTACGTAAAAAGAATTTTTTTTTTTTCAACACATCTAAAATTTGATGGAACAAAGTAAGTATACAAGTGGGTAATGTGGGTATACTCGCCTGTTCTAGTTGATTTTGCCGGGTGAGCTTTAACTTTTCGTGCTTCTTGGTTAGCTTGTCGAAGGCGTTGAGTAAACATTTCACCTCGGTCCTGTGCTTCTTCAGTTCTTCCAGCAGATTGCACAGAGCGCTCGAGCTCTGCTTTATACTGTCGATTAATTGTTTTTTCTCGTCTTTGCTTGGCACGTGGGTCATCGGACCCTGGCACGTTTTGTTACAATTTTTAATAACCTGGTCCACCTGCACGAAACTTACCCATACAGCTACGTTATTGCCCTACGGTCTGCAGTGCTCATTTTGTTATACCTTTACTATTTCCTTTTTAGTTTTTTTCATCAGCTTTTCCAATCGACGGTTGCAATCTTTGACATCGTGGCTTTGCGCGGTCGTCATCCCGAAATTCGCGTCGCAGCAGTACTATATTATGCTTTGTATGTATCGGGTAATTTTTTTTTTTTTTCTCTCCGCAAATAATTACTTTGGCATCGAAACTTTCATCCTGAGTTTATTGTAAAACTAGGTAACAAACAAACGTGTATATATATATTCGCTCCCCCCCCCTAACATCTTTGGTTCGACGTATCCATCAGAGCGCCACTACTGTATAAATACACACTGCTGATGCAGTTTGAAAATATTTACAATAATCTCCCGATTCGCTAAATCGGAAGAGAAAAAACAAATAATTTTAAGGCCTTTGAGTCGTCGGTGTGTCTCGCGCCTCGTTGTCTTTATCCTCGACGCTCCCGGGCTTCTCCGCGATGAGCCCTCGGACCTCGCGGTGTGCCCCTTCGACGTTCTCCTTGGCGCTCTTTTCCCTGGGCTTCCAGTTGTTCCAGGGCTGCTCCTCCGCCGTGCCCCAAACCAAATGAACGATGGCGCTGAAGCCCAGATTCGCCGCCGATATCAGAAAGACGAGCCTCCACTGGCCGATCGTTTGCTGAAAAAGTTTTTCATCCCGATTTTAGTATGGTCCCGAATAATCTGGAGTGTGGTGTGAAAAATCCTCACGTTGTTGTTGGTGAGAAGACCGACGACGAGCGGCGAGATGAAACCAGCCGGGGAAGTGACCAGATTGCAGAAGCCAAACAGCACACTCGCGTAATTGGGACTGAGCTCCACGAAAACTATGGAGTATCAATATTATTTTTAATTTTTAGACCTGAAAATGTCACGTCGACGCGCTTCTTTTTATTACCTGGAATCGTCGCGGACGAGACGGCCCCGTTGATGGCCGTGCCGGTAATCATGAAAAAGGTGGCGTAAGCCGGCTCGCAGCCGCTCAGAGCCAGACCGACGGTGAGGACACCTTGTCCCCCGACGCAGACGAGATTCGCGAATTTTCGTACTCCGGTGAGGCTCATGCGTTTGGTGCGCAACAGCCAGTCGGCCACCATGGAAAACGTGTACGAGAACAACATGCGGGCCACGTGCGGCGAACCCGAGAGCAAGCCAGTCTGCGGAGGAGAGGGGGAGAAAAAAAGGTTAGTATATACATCTTGTTGTTTACACGCATTTATCATCCGTATTTTTTTTTTTTTTTTTTGTTCTTTACAGCACCGCCTGGCGTACGTGCAAATACGAGATGATACGAGTTTCATTGTTATTTGCCCATCATAAAGTATAGAGGATAGTATATTATACGGTAATCTCTTTGGCGACTCCTAGTTGATGACGCGCTCTAGGTACGTCACTGTCGGGTAATCGTGATTCCCAAGAGCGTCGAGATTTGTATAATTTATAGGTGTAAGTATATATTTTCCTACCGCATTGATGTTCCATCCTTGCACGTAATTGAAGTAGGAGGGTGCTTGGGTCATGAAAGTAATGAAGCCCCAGACGCCGCCCCAGTGAGCAATAATGGTCACCCAAAACGGACCTGACGTCAAAATGGCCCCCCACGGCACTTTTTTGCTCCTCCGCTTCTTTCTCGATTCATCGTCACCGACAACAACACCGTCGTCGTCGTCGTCGTTGTCGTTTCGTGATTCCACGAGGCTCTTGATGATGTAGTTCCTCTCCTCATCCGATATTCGCGGATGATCGCGAGGCGTGTCGTAAACCAAGATTAGCCAAAAGCCGTACCTTGTTAACGATCATGCATCGGATGTGTTAGTGAAAGCGAAAAATCATAAGTATACCCAATGAGAAGGAGAAGAAGAAGAAACAAATTTTTTACCATACGATACCAACGACCGAGGTGACGTAGAATACAGCTTCCCAGTCGTAAGCGGCGATGATGAAGGCGCACAGGGGATATGTGATGGCTGCGCCCACCGAACTACCTGCAGCGTCGACAGATCGACTGTACGTGTGATTCAACGTGATTTTTGGAGATGCGTCAATTACAATGATTGTCATTTAGCAATATCTCACCCAGGTACGAACTGACGAAGCGACTGCGCTCGTTTGGGGGTATCCACTTGGCTGTCATGTCGTGCATGGATGGCCACACGATACCCTGCAAGCTCTCGGTTGAGTTTTTCCCATTTTCCAAAGTAAGTACAACCAAAAGAAAAGAATCAACTCACAGCTATCAGTCCTTGAATCACTCGGAGGCAGATGAGGGCATTGAGACTGTAGTGCGCAGCCAGGGGTATGAGGAAGCCGGTGAGGGCGACGAGCAGGTTGCCCAGACCAAAGACCATTTTCGTGCCGTACTTGCGAGCGAGCAGGCCACCCGGTAGCTGCAAGACCCAGTGTAGCCAGTAGTAGGCACCGAGCGCCAAACCCTGCTGGTACTCGTTCCAGTGGTACCGATCGTCGAAGCTCTTTCCCGATGCCTCGCTGCTGGCCGTGATGTTGTGGTCCACGTGTCTCACGGCACCGATCGCCGAGCCGTTCCTCGGGCCCGTGCACTCCGAGGCTGCTGCGGACGTTTCTCGGGGCACCACCATCCCCACTATCGCCAGGTTCAGGTTGTTTCGCAGCATGTAGTTCACGGCGAAGCCCCAGAACACGAGGATCCACAACACGTCCCGGCAGGACATGCACTCGCGTTTTTCTAAGCAAATTTTTTTTTTTTTTTTTTTTTTTTCGGGCACCGAATAAAGATTAGTTTACACGCGTACAAGTACATATACCCATTACAGGTGCGCTATTATTCATTTTCAGTGATACAACTATACTTTTACTCTACATATCTCATCGCAAAGTACACGGAAGCGCTGATTCCCCTGAGGTATAGATCGATGCTTGTTGTACCTGTTTTTTTTTTTCTTTTTTTTTCTTTTTACGCGTTTTGGGCAGCTCACTTATAAGGAAAGACGATATACAGCGACAAGTTATGCAATATTGGTACGTATACGCGTAGAGGCACTTTTATCTCACTTTGGTTGCTCGTTAATTCATGTGATGCATTTTTTGTTTGTTTTCATTGACGCGCGTGCAATTCGTGAATGAGCATCATATATCAGTTCTTTGATAACATCTGTTGTTGATGGTACACCTAGAGTTAGATATATA